TTGACCAGATCAGATCGATATCACTTCGTCAATGTGAATCAGGACTCGTCGCCTTATTCTGGAGTGGAATTCGGTGTGCCGCAGGGTTCGGTACTCGGACCGATTCTTTTTACTCTCTACATGCTGCCACTGGGAAACATTATTAAAAAGCATGGAATTAATTTCCACTGCTATGCAGATGACACACAGCTTTATCTGTCGATGAAGCCTAATCAGACAGATCAGCTAGAAAAGCTCAGTGCCTGCATAAAGGACCTTAAAATGTGGATGACTCTTAACTTCCTACTTCTCAACCCGGAGAAGACAGAAGTGATCCTACTCGGTCCGAAGCGCCTGCGTGACTCCCTCACTAACCAGATGGTTACTCTCGATAATGTCAGTATAATACCCAGTAACACTGTGAGGAATCTTGGAGTCATTTTTGACCAAGAACTCTCCTTCAAGGCTTATATAAGCCAAGCAACTAAAACGGCGTACTTCCACTTACGGAACATCGCTAAAATTAGGAATTTCCTTCCTAAAAGTGACGCGGAAAAACTCATTCACGCGTTTGTCACCTCAAGGCTTGACTACTGTAACGCTTTACTGGCAGCGTGCCCTAAAGCCTCTTTGAAGAGCTTCCAGCTCGTTCAGAATACAGCAGCTAGGATCTTAACAGGTACCAAAAGGAGGAAGCACATAACTCCGGTGTTAAAATCACTCCACTGGCTCCCTGTGGAGTACAGAATAAAGTTTAAAATCCTACTCTTAACATATAAAGCCATAAATGGCTTGGCTCCTTCTTATCTCCAAGACACGTTAGTGTCGTATCAACCAAGTCGAGCGTTGCGCTCACAAAACGCCAGACGTCTGGTGGTCCCTAAGGTCTCAAAGGTCACTGTTGGTGGCAGAGCATTTAGCTACCAAGCTCCTTTACTGTGGAATCAGCTTCCCATTTATGTTAAGGAAGCAGATACGGTCTCCACATTCAAGGCCAGGCTTAAAGCACTTTACTTTAATTTAGCATATAATTAGGTAATATATAATATGTAGTGTATATATTATATATATATGCTGTATTATGTTATATATTATGTTATATATTATTCAATAATGTATTGTGTTATGTTGTATATTATGTTATATATTATGCTGTATGTTATTCTTTATTCAAGGCTAGGTTTAAAACAGTCCTCTTTAGTTTAGCATATGGCTAGGAAGGTAAGACTCGGAGAAGGTTAAACTCCTCAGAGTGTTAGTCAAGCTGCATAGGGAGTCAGTTTGCTGGGAGAAGTATGGTAACTTGAGCACTATCCTCTCCTCCTTCCTACTTTATCTGTTTAGCATTTTTAGGATTCTGACTGTAGTTTGTTCATTGCTATTCACCCGTTGTCCCATTGTCTGTTTCATGGTACGATGACGGGATCTCTGAGCCTGGCCTCTTCCATCTACACCTGCGGACTGCCCCGCCCGACCCGCCTGGGAGTGCTTCGGTCCTGCACCGGACCTGTCCACGTTCAGCGTCCACTGGTCCACGTTCTGTAGCTAGCTTAGGTCCTGGATCATTAGTCTGTCCGTCCGGAGGAGCGGATCCCTTTCTCATATGGGTCTCCCTCCCTGTGGGTTTCCCTAGTTCTCCTCCAAGGTTTCTCACTTTTTCCCACTGGGTTTTTTAAGAGTTTTTCCTTGTCGATGCAGGAGGGTCTTGTTGGACAGTTAGTGTCCAACAGAAAGGATTGGTGATGATCAGGACACTTTAGCATTCTACAACATGTATGGACATTTTCTTCTGTGTGTGCTTTATACTGTATTCTTCATGTGTTTTAACTGTTGATTCTCTGACCTGTGTTGGTGATTTCAATGGTTTTGTTAAGTCCTCTGAGATGACTTCTGTTGTGACCTAGGGCTATACAAGAATACATTGTATTGTATTGTATTGTATTGTATTGTATTGACCCAAAGATATGCTTAGTCTCTGAAAATATTGTTCTATTTGATTAGGACCCATCGAAAAAGAGACAATCCATCATGTAAAATTTGCTTTGTTAATTGGCAGCAGTGACCGTTACAATATTCTAGGATGTGCCAATTTACAGTTGTAGCTTGGAAGTCAAGTATAAAGTGAGTAAAACATTTAGTTGGATTATGAATATTACTATTAAAGTAGGAAAGGCCAAACATGAACATGAGTGCATTGGTAATGGGAGTGAGAATGGCATTTGAATGGGTCTGTGTTTCTCTTTATCTGTGATCTGGAGCCAGTGGATGTCAGAGTGGACTTCACATGTGTCACTCCAATGGCATGTCTCTACATCTCTATATCTCTGTGTCCGTGTGTCTACGTCTAACTATGTCTGTATGTCTCTATGTCCGTGTGTCTACGTCTAACTATGTCTGTAAGTCTCTATGTCTGTGTGTCTACGTCTAACTATGTCTGTATGTCTCTATGTCCGTGTGTCTACGTCTAACTATGTCTGTATGTCTCTATGTCTGTGTGTCTATGTCTAACTATGTCTGTATGTCTCTATGTCCGTGTGTCTATGTCTAACTATGTCTGTATGTCTCTATGTCCGTGTGTCTACGTCTAACTATGTCTGTAAGTCTCTATGTCTGTGTGTCTACGTCTAACTATGTCTGTATGTCTCTATGTCTGTGTGTCTATGTCTAACTATGTCTGTATGTCTCTATGTCCGTGTGTCTACGTCTAACTATGTCTGTATGTCTTTATGTCCGTGTGTCTACGTCTAACAGTATGTCTGTGTGTCTACGTCTAACTATGTCTGTATGTCTCTATGTCTGTGTGTCTATGTCTAACTATGTCTGTATGTCTCTATGTCCGTGTGTCTATGTCTAACTATGTCTGTATGTCTCTATGTCCGTGTGTCTACGTCTAACTATGTATGTATGTCTCTATGTCTGTGTGTCTATGTCTAACAGTAAGTCTGTATGTCTCTGTCTGTGTCAATCAGATTTTTTTCTTAAGTATATCTATGTCTGTATGTCTCTATGCCTCTGTCTGTATGTCTGTATGCATGTCTCTTCTATGTATGGATGTCTCTATATATGTATGTCTGTATGTCTCTATCTCTCTATGTCTGTATGTCTCTATGTCTGTATGTCTCTATGTCTGTATGTCTGTATGTCTCTATGTCTGTATGTCTCTATGTCTGTATGCCTCTGTCTGTATGTCTCTTCTATGTCAGTATGTCTCTATGTATGTATGTCTGTATGTCTGTTTGTCTCTATGTCTGTATGGTTCTATGTCTGTATGTCTGTCTGTCTGTATGCCTCTATGTCTGTATGTCTGTATGTCTGTATGTCTCTATGTTCGTGTGTCTACGTCTAACTATGTCTGTTTGTCTCTATGTCTGTATGGTTCTATGTCTGTATGTCTGTCTGTCTGTATGCCTCTATGTCTGTATGTCTCTATGTCTGTATGTCTCTATGTTCGTGTGTCTACGTCTAACTATGTCTGTATGTCTCTATGTCCGTGTGTCTACGTCTAACTATGTCTGTATGTCTCTATGTCTGTGTGTCTATGTCTAACAGTAAGTCTGTATGTCTCTGTCTGTGTCAATCAGATTTTTTTCTTAAGTATATCTATGTCTGTATGTCTCTATGCCTATGTCTGTATGTCTGTATGCATGTCTCTTCTATGTATGTATGTCTCTATATCTGTATGTCTGTATGTCTCTATGTCTGTATGCCTCTGTCTGTATGTCTCTTCTATGTCAGTATGTCTCTATGTATGTATGTCTCTATATCTGTTTGTCTCTATGTCTGTATGGTTCTATGTCTGTATGTCTGTCTGTCTGTATGCCTCTATGTCTGTATGTCTCTATGTCTGTATGTCTCTGTCTGTATGTCTCTGTCTGTATGTCTCTGTCTGTATGTCTCTGTCTGTATGTCTCTGTCTGTATGTCTATGTCTGTATGTCTCTGTCTGTATGTCTCTATCTGTATGTCTCTGTCTGTATGTCTCTGTCTGTATGTCTCTATCTGTATGTCTCTGTCTGTATGTCTCTGTCTGTATGTCTCTATGTCTGTATGTCTCTGTCTGTATGTCTCTGTCTGTATGTCTATGTCTGTATGTCTCTGTCTGTATGTCTCTATCTGTATGTCTCTGTCTGTATGTCTCTGTCTGTATGTCTCTATGTCTGTATGTCTCTATGTCTGTATGTATCTGTCTGTATGTCTCTGTCTGTATGTCTCTATGTCTGTATGTCTCTGTCTGTATGTCTCTATGTCTGTATGTCTCTGTCTGTATGTCTCTGTCTGTATGTCTCTATGTCTGTATGTCTCTATGTCTGTATGCCTCTGTCTGTATGTCTCTTCTATGTCAGTATGTCTCTATGTATGTATGTCTCTATATCTGTTTGTCTCTATGTCTGTATGGTTCTATGTCTGTATTTCTCTATGTCTGTATGTCTCTGTATGTATGTCTCTGTCTGTATGTCTATGTCTGTATGTCTCTATCTGTATGTCTCTGTATGTATGTCTCTGTCTGTATGTCTATGTCTGTATGTCTCTATCTGTATGTCTCTGTCTGTATGTCTCTGTCTGTATGTCTCCGTCTCTATGTCTGTACGTCACTATGTCTGTATTCATTCATTCAATCATCACTACGTCTGTTAACGGAGCAGTATGTAAAAACCTGACCAAAAGTGGTACTGCAACCTCTCCTGCTCTCCCTGACTCGGGTTGCCAGATATGCAGACAAATCCATCTGGGACCATAATATCAGAATAGATATATGCTACTTAAATATCCAACGTCAATAGTTCACACAAAAAATAAAAAAAGTGGAAAATTATGGAAAATGTGGAAAATTAGTTTTAAACCTTGTGATCGTGGGACAGCATTGAAAGAATAAATGTGGTGTTATTTCTGTCACATTTCTACAATTCTACACATTGTAACGGTACAATACATTTACAGCAGAAAGTCCCTCTTTGGTGTATGGACCATGTGGCACCGCTCTCACTGGTCCTGTCCTCGCCTCCCTCTCCTTTCACCCGTCTCTTACATGTCACTTTCCCTCATAATCGTGGCGACGCTGAGAGCCCCCGCCGTCTCTCGCACCGACACAATGTAGCGGACAGCGTAATTCAAGTGTCGTGCATCTGCTGCTCTTTGATCCGCCGCGACCATTGTGTGGGCTCTCAGCTTGGATCTGGGATAGGGCTCCTGATACGCCCCTGCCCTGGTAAAGTGAGATGTGAGCCCCTCTTGTGCTGCGCAGAACACTGGCGGCTTTTGTCCCGTCTGAGCACGAGCTAACGGCAGGGCTCCAGGGTGCATTAGCCGGGTATGCTAGCCTGCACACTAATGCGGGGGTAGGGTTCACGAGCTGGGATCACTGGGACTGGGTTTCTCGCCATATACTGAGGCATTTAGGTACTTTGGATGTTACGAGGACTGAATAAATGCGTCCAAACTATGTGTTCTGGTAGATTAGATTAGTTCTGGCAAGATTATTTATAGAGCACAGCTTTAGAGCACAGAGGCCAGTCCCTGTGCTCCTCAGAGTCCCAGCAGGAGGCCAGTCCCTGTGCTCCTCAGAGTCCCAGTAGAAGGCCAGTCCCTGTGCTCCTCAGAGTCCCAGCAGGAGGCCAGTCCCTGTGCTCCTCAGAGTCCCAGAAGGAGGCCAGTCCCTGTGCTCCTCAGAGTCCCTGCAGGAGGCCAGTACCTGTGCTCCTCAGAGTCTCAGCAAGAGGCCAGTCCCTGTGCTCCTCAGAGTCCCTGCAGGAGGCCAGTACCTGTGCTCCTCAGAGTCTCAGCAGGAGGCCAGTCCCTGTGCTCCTCAGAGTCCCAGCAGGAGGCCAGTCCCTGTGCTCCTCAGAGTCCCTGCAGGAGGCCAGTACCTGTGCTCCTCAGAGTTTCAGCAGGAGGCCAGTCCCTGTGCTCCTCAGAGTCTCAGCAGGGGGCCAGTCCCTGTGCTCCTCAGAGTCCCAGCAGGAGGCCAGTCCCTGTGCTCCTCAGAATCCCAGAAGGAGGCCAGTCCCTGTGCTCCTCAGAATCCCAGAAGGAGGCCAGTCCCTGTGCTCCTCAGAGTCCCTGCAGGAGGCCAGTACCTGTGCTCCTCAGAGTCTCAGCAGGAGGCCAGTCCCTGTGCTCCTCAGAGTCCCTGCAGGAGGCCAGTACCTGTGCTCCTCAGAGTCTCAGCAGGAGGCCAGTCCCTGTGCTCCTCAGAGTCTCAGCAGGGGGCCAGTCCCTGTGCTCCTCAGAGTCCCAGCAGGAGGCCAGTCCCTGTGCTCCTCAGAATCCCAGAAGGAGGCCAGTCCCTGTGCTCCTCAGAGTCCCTGCAGGAGGCCAGTCCCTGTGCTCCTCAGAGTCTCAGCAGGGGGCCAGTCCCTGTGCTCCTCAGAGTCCCAGCAGGAGTCCAGTCCCTGTGCAGTATTTAAGTTTAACACATTTAGATATTTTGTCCATAACTTTCTATTTGAAATAAGAATACACCTATTCTGGTAAATATGTTTTTCTTTCGAGTTTTTTAAAGGGACAGTATGTAAAAGTTGAACCTGGACATGATGCTAGTTAAATCATCCAATCAGAGACCAGAACTAGGCCCTTTTTTCACAAACAAATTATTAATATTACCAACACAAATTTTTATTTCTGAAACCAGGACCCAATAATAAGTATTCATTGTTCACATTCTGTAGAACAGGGATCTCCAACCTGATGCTCGTGAGCTCCCAGTAGCTTGCCAGCCTCTTTCAGGTAGCTCACCAAAGGGTTTAGAATTCAACACATGATCCTAAATGATTCATTTTATAATTCATTTTATATAATAAGTAAAGGGTTATACAGTATTATGGTGTATTTTACAGACGTTTCTCATGTTTTGTCATCATTGTTACATAGATATTTATTATGTCTGCAAAAAAGAGTAGCTCTCTGCCTCTTCTGGTGAGTAAAAGTAGCTCTCCCTTTGAAAAAATTTTGTAGAAGTGACCTGCTGTAGAAGTATTGTTAAAAAATACACTTTCTTTAGTGAATGCAGAACAAATATAAAATAATGATGTCTGTCCTTCAATTCATAAAGCCTCATAATTTAATCTATTTTCTTTTATACGATGAATAAGATTTGAGGACAGACAGCTCTTTTCAACCGTTTTGTTGTTGAAAGTATAACAATTTGTATTAAAGGATACTGGGATAAAGAAAGTGGAAATTAGCCGTTGGATCAGTGCGTGGTTGGCGTGTGAGTCTCTTGTGAGTCTGTTGTCGATAAAAGTTGGAAATAAAGTTTTACGATCTCCGGAGTGAAATGCCTCTGATCCTTCTGCTGAAAGTCCTCCATCTGTAGAAAACATTCCAAACATGGAGAACGAGCTTTCTTCATCGACCACAAAGGAAGTTTCATGGTTCTTAAAGCTGGGCGACCTAACTTTAAAACCACACAAAATTGAATTATGTTTTAAAAAAGATATATATCTGTGTGTTTTTTTACTGTCCAAATCTAAAATATCACTAATAATAATAAATAATGCATTGGTTTTAATACAAGACACTCAGAGACTTCATTCACTCCAAACACGGTGATGATAAACTTCTACTTTAGCCACAGCTGCCCTGGGGCACACTGACAGATGTGAGGCAACCAGTCTGTGCCATCGGCCCCTCCCACCACCACCAACCATTCATATTTTCTGATAAGGTTTCTACATTTATTCACATATTGTTGCTTTTATGAGACTATTGGACAAACAACTTGAATGATTTAAGAACCAAGTGGCACGGTGGCTGACTGGATAGCACTCTCTCCTCTCAGAAAGAAGGTCCTGGGTTCGAATCCCGGTCGGAACAGGGTCTTTCTGAGTGGAGTTTCTGAGTGGAGTTTCCGGTTTCCCCTATCACTCAAAACATGCTCACTAGGTTAAATCCTCCAGCTCCGGTCCTGACCAAGCCGAGCATCAACATCTGGAGATGGGTTCCCGGGCGCTGTTACTACAGTGACCACTGCTCCTGACGTAAGCTTTAGCAGCATCAGGATGGGTCAAATGCAGAGGATTGAATTGCCCTACGGGGATTAATAAAGTGCACCTTTACCTTTGGAAAAAGGAGTCGACTGTAGATAGATGAACTTAAAAACACTATCAAATAGGGTCACATTTATACATTAAAAATAGATACATAAATTTTAGTTCTCTACACATTTCTTATAGTTATCTGATTCCAGACTCCAGGGCTCCAGGCAAGTTCCAGTCTAATATTTATAACTGGTACATTGGGATCAGATAATTGTCCAAACAATAAAACCAACTTTAAACTTGTGTTGTGCTAATTGCCTCACATGGTGCTGTAGTTATGCACAACTTCTAATAAATCAACAGATCTGCTTTTTCACATCCGCCAATTTTCACATTTTAAAACTGCAACTGGCTCCATGCGGTGAGATCAACTTTCTTTGACTTTGGCTTTTTTTCTTCTATTTTATCAACAGGCCTCACTCTAGCCGAGGAGAGGATACTGGCATAGCACTTATTCTTAAAGCACACACACAAACGCTGCAGCATAATAAAGATTAAATACATGAAAAACACCACATTTTCAAAGCTGGGCATAAGAACTTGGCTGAACACACACTTCTCAAACGTCCACCTGTCCTATTTCCACAAAACACTGCATCTGTTAGTCACGAAGCGGCTAAATTTAGGCTAGCAATTTATAGCAAGTGATAAATAGCAGATTAGGCAAAAGCTTTTTTTTCCTTCTTCTTCTTTTAAATATAACCGTAAAATTACACTGTGCAATATGAGACCAACTGGAGGTAGGCTTCCCGTGCCTCAGAAGCGGCTACAGAGGATTTGTTAAGCCGTGTTGTCATTTGCCAGATATGGAGACTATTTTTGTTGGTTATTTAATTGACTCCGTGGAGGGGTAATTCACACGATATGGCAGCACATGCACATGAAGGGTTTTGGTGGCGAGGCGGAAGGAAAAAACACGACTACTTATGCATTTCTATAATGGGCCAATGGTAAGCAGATGGAATGCACAAAAACAAAGAGAATAAAAGCATATTGTTGATATTGTGTTGATTTGAATTTGCCGGAAATGACTGCAAGTCCTCAGTCGCTCTGAAACGGTTGCTGATTCTATCTTTCCATTTGACTTCAGGACAGCGGTCAGGGTTTAACGCTAATCCAGAGATGAGAAGATGGCAAGAACCAAACAGATTGTGTGTAGATCCAGCGGGGGAAGGCAAATTTTTGAAAGAGTCACTTGCACGCTATTACAGAATTTAGGATTTCACACCGGAAACGGAGCAGAAAAGGGCTCTGAGCAAAATGACTGCGTGGAAATCTGCAAGAGAAAAGGCTTGTGGGGTTTAGAAGCCTGACCACAACAGGTTGCATGGCTTTGAAGGAGATCCAGCGCTATCAGAAGTCAAACACTGCTCTTCCTGCGCCTGGTCACGGGAACCAGGATGTACGACCGATACATCCAGAGCACCAGCACTCTCTACCAAGTGGGTGAGTGAGACTCACCATCCAGCCCAAGGACTTCCCGCTGCGAGAAAGGACCTCCTTATAAACGGTAAACATTTTTGTTAATGTTTCTTTTCAATTCTGTTCAATTCAATGTTATTCTTGTATCACCCTCAATCACAACAGTAGTTATCTTGGAAGACTTAACAAATCTTAAGAATTTGCCAACAGAAAGAATCAAACAGTTCAAACACAAGAAATTCAATAATCTGCAGATGACCAATGTTGATAAATGTTGTTAAATGTTGAGGGTCCTGGATCATCATCACCATTCTCCTTTGAGTTAGACCCAGACAAGGCTCCAACAGACCCTCCTCCTTCTTCATCCGTTTCTGTCAGATGAAAAACACTGAAGGGTGGTTTAATCCCGGGTTACATTTTTGGATTGGATGTATAGGTTTTAATAATTTTGATTTATGTGAATGTCTCTTTGTCATTTTCTTTTCTCTGTATCAGCTCCTGATAGTCACCTGAACATGTCTTTTCTTGCAGAATAGAAAAAAAAATCCATCAATATATCTATCTATCTATCCACCCACCCACCAAACCAGCCACCCATCCATCCATCCACCCAACCATTCATCCATTCATCCACCCACCCATCCAGCATTTCATCCATCCATCCACCCACAAAACCAGCCACCCACCCATCCATCCATCCAGCCATCCATCCACTCATCCACCCAACCATTCATCCACCCACCCATCCAGGATTTCATCCATCCATCCACCCACAAAACCAGCCACCCACCCATCCATCTATCCAGCCACCCATCCAGCATTTCATCCATCCATCCAACCACC